AGCTTGCTCACCAGGAACCCTTCTTGTCCAGAGCTTGTAAGCAATTGCCATGTATAGAACCACGGTAACGATGTGAGGCAGACCRAAACCAGTGGTAAAAATCAAGATGCCATCAACTTGTGATGGCATCGCAATGCAGTAGAACTTTCCTTCTATTCGACAAAATACGGCTTGTGTAAAGATGTAGTGAGCTGGCACTGCCRTGGACGCCACCCAAATGATGGGTATGRTATACTTTGTCCAGGAAGAATGGCTTTTATATTTGAGAGGGTAAGTAACCGCCATGAATCGATCGAAGGTGATGGCCACCAGGCTGTACATAGAGCACAGCATGAAGAAGTAATACGATTGACAMCCCAAAGGGCAGAATATGTATTCTCCCATTATTTTATTTCCTGTCCACTCRTATCCGTTGTATATGACAATATAGAGAGTTCCAAAGGAAGTGGTTATGGTCGCTAGTATGTCACCAAGCGCCATGTTGACGATGAGGTAGTTGRTCGTTGTGCGCATGTGGGGGTTAACTCTGACAACGTGAATGATGAGCGCGTTGCAAAKAASTGCAACTATTGCTAAAGACATCCAAAAGGATGTSAGCACAATCTTATTAGGAATTTCTGGCGTGATATTATCCTCTGAGAAATAAACGTGGAAATACTTTTAATCAAGGTCCATCAATGAATGATTTAAGCAAGTTCAAAAAGCAACAACACCTGGGGCCGGTTGTGCGAAGAGTGAATGCTATCCATTCCACTTGATGAACTGTTTTCAGAGGACAAACTAAATCTGAGTGGATAATTTATATACCGGCCCCTGATATTTTTGCCTAGATCATTTCGACTATCAATTGTTACCAGTAATGTTAGGTGGACAMGAACGTGAGTTWAYATCTTTTCTAGCAGTCTTGTCTTCCARCCGTACATCTTCAGATGTMGACTGCAGACAGACAAGAAGGTTGATCAAGAGTCCCAGGACGGTAGCCTTTTTCATGARGACGAAATTTCAAGCGGAAATTAGATTTGATGTATTCGGAAKTGCTTGTACCTTTTAAGTCCCCAAGCAATATGACTAGCTTTGACCATCTTGACTTAACCGCTTGTTGCGCTTAAATGTCAGTCTTGTGAATAATATTTTTCTTTTGTTTACAATTTTAACGTTAAATGGTCTTGTCTTCTAATTGGAACATCTAATTGCAGAGTTTTGATTGGGTCAAATCATTTCCTTTTTGATAGCTATGATCTTTTGAATTATATCTTACAATTATCTATAACAGTAGCTGCTTGGATTGGACTGCTCCTTCATTGGCTGTGTTAGTGCTATTAACATCACAGCACTTCCTTGCTCGCTTGCTTTTGAGCGAGAATGACTGATGACTAGGAAATATAAAAAACTTAAGAGAAAATTATACTTGGT